CCGCAGATCCCCATCGCGGTTTCAAGCGAGTGTCCCCGAAGTCCCGTCAAAAAGCGGGGTGCGCCCGCGCGCCGCGCCGGGCGGTGCCGCTGCGCGATCACCGCGCCGACCCAACGAGCCGACGCGGGGGTGGAGGGGCGGCGCGGGCACCCCAGGCCCCACCCTAGGGTGAAAACGTGCCCGCCATTTTAAAAAGGCGTTTCCTCTAAGGCTACATCTGTGATGCTGAACCAGGGGTGGTCTCTTTATTGTTCGATCATGTCTGTCTTCGGGTTATACACTTACTTCGCACAAGTAGACTTGCTCATCATCAAGATGTGTGTGGCGCTCATTGTCAATATGTATTCGTCGTGGCGGTATCTCCGCAACAAGGACCACGAACCGGTTGAATATATGCGATATTTCAACAGTACTAGTGGTGATGGGGATATACCAGATCAAACTGTAATTTCTAGTTTGGACTTAGACGCTGCAGAAGAAGGTCGTAGTAGACCCAAACCCAAACGTACTCCCGAACAACGATTGGTGGATGCTATTGGTAGACATGTGGACGTGCATGACGGGCGTTCAATGGAGCAGGTGTAGATTTGTAAAAACAAAGAACTCGGCATGTGTTGTCGCACGCTCTCGGTGGGGATGTACTGTACTGGGCCGGGGTGGTAAGCATGGACGTAGAAAGCTTCCTTCGAAAACTCTGTGACACAACGTTTGAGGGTGGCCGAGTTGTCAGGGGTGATTCCGATACTATTGTGCTGTATGACGTGCTGTCGTGGCCTGGGGCACGCACAGACGCACTTCGTCAGCGGTTCCCTCATTGTGATGTCGACGTACACCAGGCACAGAATAGTAGCGCAAGCGGATTCGTGGTCGTGGTGAGTATGCACGTGTTTGTTACTGTATGCACGACGTTTGTTACTGTACTTGCAACCGTTGTGGCTGCGTTGTTCACTGGGTTTGCTGCGATGCACGTGTCCCTTGCGCAGTACCCTGACTGGGGGGACATGGACCTGTACGACACTCTGAACGAGTCCTGTACGAACGAGACACTGTGAGCGTGTGATAATAAAATTTTATTTATACAACGATCTCATGATAGATGCAACTAAACAGCTGCCTGTGGTGTCTCGGTACTTCTGATTATTATTGTGTTTTTCTGTATAGATTTTTATAATATTTTCGAACAAGTCAATCTGATTTTTGAATCCAGAGGGATTGGTAAATGCAAATTTGTACTTTTGTGCGAGTCTCAACATTCGTTCCAAAGAGCGCACAGCAGTTTCGTCGAATAGTCCCATGTTCATTGTTGGCACGATGGTCTCTAAAAATGCAACATTATTCCAGTCGCGTTCATTAATATTCTTATCGAAGTCTTCCCAAAATTCTGCAAGAGCGGCGTTTATTTCCGCAACAAACATGTCCTGACCGCCAGGTACCTCGTTTGTGTCAATCTGTTTCAT